TATATATATATATATATATATATATATATATATATATATATAATTTTAAGAGATACAAAATACAAAACTTTCTGTACAAATCAATTAGGGTAAATAGCACAAAAGACACTACGTTTACACGAAAAATCTAATTTGACACTGTGTTATTTTTTTCTCAAATTTGACACTGTGTTTTCTAATTTGTTTACATTTCTGACTACATGACCGTTCAACCCGGTTACTTGCTGACGTGACATGATGACGTTGGATGCTGACTAGTCAAAATTGAATTTTTTTCCACAAAAGACACTAAGTTTTTATTTTTTTTCGATTTTGACATTGAGTTTATTTTTTTAAAAATTTTGACACTCTATTTTTTTGTTCCAAATCGAAAATCATTTTTTCCAATTTTTTCAATGCCGATCATTTTCTATTTGAAACCTTATAATTATTTAATCGTAAATAAAAATATGTGTAAAATCTACAACAAAAAATAAAATAAATAATATTTCATAAGTGATAATTGATAAAATTTTGTTATTTTTATTCGAAGTTTATGGTTAGTTCGTCTCTCATTATATAACTAAAAATATTTATAAAACATATGCTTTGAATGTAAAAAATATGGTTTTTAAATGAAAAAAAAATACATTTATATGGTTTAACATGTATTAAAAAAATATTTATACGGTTTCAAATGGAAAATGGTCAGCATTGAACAAAATTGAAAAAAAAAATGTTCGATTTGGAACAAAAAAATAAAGTGTCAAAATTGAAAAAAAAACGTAGTGTCAAAAAAAAAAATTAGTGTCTTTTGTGGAAAAAAAATTCAATTCTGACACGTCAGCATGCCACGTCATCAAAACTGACACGTCATCATGTCACGTCAGCAAGTATCCGGGTTGACCGGTCAAATGGTTAGAATTGTAACAAATTAGAAAACACTGTGTCAAATTTGAGACAATAAATAACACAATGTCAAATTAGAATTTTCGTGTAAACGTAGTGTCTTTTGAGCTATTTACCCAATCAATTATACATAACAAAACCTATTTACCCAATCAATTATACATAACAAAACCTATAATACTTGCCAAAATTTTGAAGACTTGAATTAAGGAAGATTATTAAAAAATTAATTTGGAACAAAATAACAATTTTAAAATATTAAATTCATCAGTATAGGCTAATTTATATTTCTTAAACTAGATACCGATAATAATTAATTCACATCAAATGTATAAACATACAATATCAATATACGTTTTAAACATAAATATTTTAATTAAAAGTGGTAATTTTTCTTATTACATAATAACTAATAACAAAATCCAATAATTATTTTCCCGTAAGAAAACTATTCGCCAAAAAAAGCTATTTATCGCCGCTGCTTTGCACGGGCACACATCTAGTGTGTGTGTGTCTATATATATATATATATATATATATATATATATATATATATATATATATATATGTGCAAATGTGGATGTAGGAAGCAATAAGAAATTAAGAAATATTAAATCATTAAATAAATCTATAAGGGTATTTTAGAAATACTAGCAATTATTAATTATGGCAAATAAAGAAAATCTAGGAAATCAATTTATGAACCCTAAAATCCATCCACCGACCCCTTTGTGTGTATGTTTTGACGAAAATATGAATAGAGGAGGTATCGACATACCAACCAACATCATCATCGAGCATCATCTTGTTCGCAGTCGGCCACCATCATCATCAAGTCGACCACCCTCATATATCGATTTTAATCATCTCAGGTAAAAGAGTAGAAGTTGCTAGCCAATTCATATCTTAAATCAAAAGTTTGTGTCTTCTTTAAAAACAAATTCAAACCGATTTTTTTCATGTCTACAAGTCACTTAGCTTTTCAATAAATTTGGAATCTAAAAATTGTTTCGTATGATTTGTTTTCTTTTCTCCACACAAGCTTACATTTATTGTTTTTCGTCAACTTGCATACAAAAAAAATTGATTTTTATATGATGGAATAGCCACCCCAAGTGTTTGATGTAATGTCCCAAAGAATGTTTGATTTTTAGTATAAGGTTTGATTTTCAATATACAAAAGGTTTTTCTGGTTCTCAATGTTTTTTTTTTAATTTTTTTTTCATGAAAGGGTCTTTTCTAATACTCCATGTCGATAAATCATTCTACTAGAATGTTGTGATCATCTCTTTTGTGATTGACTGGAACGTTCATCCATGGAAAAATGTTCATTTCTTATTAAAAATGAGTATCATAAGAGAGGTGTGTAGAGATTATACTGGTTGCGACAAATTATGGTTTAAAAGAATATTGGATTTCATTTCAGGTACTTGGATAAGATTTGTACATTGATTTATATCATTATTATTTTATTTTTTCTTTAAAAGAAGCTTATATTGGTTCCCATAAAACACTCTTTCTTTTTGTTTTCTCTCTTGGAAATAAAAGATTTCAACCTTGAAGACTACTCGTAATTCCATTAATCTTTTCATATGTTCTTTTAATGGGTTCTTTTTCTTGTTTATGTCATTTGTAATCTTATTGTTTTTGTGGTTGAGTAAAAGAGTGAGTAAAAGAGCGAGTGATGGGTAGTTGTTAGTGTAAGTGGAAACCCTCAACATATAGTCTCATCAAAATCAAAATCAAAATCAGGTGGGTTTTCTATAAACTTTATCGTTTTAATCCTTTTTTATAGGTTAGGTTCATGTATCACAACTAGATTTTATATAACATGTATTTTTCCTACCTTCTTCTACTTTTTTGCTTTATTAGATTCCTCATTTGACGTATGTTCTTGATTTGAGAAACTAATTTATATGAATAGGAACTACTCATCCAAAAACATGTTTCCTTCAATCTGATTAAGGGTGTGTTCGGCACGGAGCGTTTGAGAGCTTCTAGCTTCTGGCGTTTGACAAAACGCTCTGTTTTAAACAGAAAGCCTTGTTTGGCACTACAAGCTTCTAGCGTTTAGTTTAAACAAAACGCTCCAAATCCAAAAGCTACTTCATGTAGCGTTTAACAAAACGTTACAAACTACACGCTACCCGCTACAAGCTACCCGCTACCAGCTAGTTTTGTTAAACACGCCCTAATACTAGCTGATCTGCTTCTTTATAGCAACAATGAAAATTTCCATTTCTAGCCAGACTATTATGATTTATGTCTTTCCAGAACTTGCTAAAAGTTAGTAAGAAAAAAAAGGAGACCTCATTACACTCTTAAATAAGTGTCTACTTTCTTTTATATATACATTTGGTCCTAATACTAGCAAGACACTTTGCACAACATAAATCAATCAAGGGTTCAGTCTCATTTTGTTTTTTGTTTTTTTTTACTACATACAATACACATGACTTCATTTTTTCATAAGGTGAAATTTCTCACTTCCTATCTAGGTGAAGGAGTTA